TTATTTTTCGTATCCAATACTGTCTATGGACCGAGACCTCTGAAACCTTGAGCTCCCAAATAAACTTTTCCTCCTCTAAAATTATTCTTGTCAGGTCTTTTAGTCATAGTAGTGAACAAGCTGACTAAAACAAGCCTTTAATGCGGGAAACATACAAGTCAAGGATCAACGAGAGAAACGAAAGATGCTAAGGCTAGGTGCTATATGTGTTCTGGTGAAGGGATATTTCCTGCCTGAGAAGACACTTTCTTAGGGCAAAATTGTGAGAAAACAGCCTTATCAGAATGTGGGACAAAGAAACTAGAGCCAGGGTGACTGAGTTTAAGAACCAGCTGTTACAGGACTTGTGTGGGAAAGTCAACTTCCTAGCACCTGGAGATCTTTAGGAATTTTTTGCCCCATCTGCTAGGGACAGAAAGCCATCTTGTGAGATGCTAAGTTTGGCAATGCCCCTGCTGCTGATAATTGGGGAGACCTTTGTCCCAGCTGGCACAATATGTAGGCAACCCCAGCATTAGCTCCAAAGATCATTTTTGGATCATCCTATCTGAGGAACCACACTTATCTTCATTTTTTAAAAAGTGATAGTCCTGGTTAGGCATGTAGCTCAGTGGTAGAGTATGAGCATCTAGCATGCACAACCCCCCCCCCCAAAATTCTTTTCCTTAAGTGCTCGTAATAAACCAGTGTAATGACCTGGTACAACAATCTGCCAGAAAAAAGCTCTCTGAGTTAATGTAAGGTTTTCCAGATACATAAAGTAATTTAGAATACATAAAGAACTCAAAAACTTCACACTAAAAAACCCAAATAACCCAACTGATAAGTGTGCAAATGAATTAGACACTTCTCCAGAGAAGAAATACAAATGAAACATATGAAAAAATATTCAACATCATTAGCAGTTAGGGAAATGCAAATCAAAACTACATGGAGATTTTATGTCACACCAGTCAGAATGAGGGTCATCAGGAATACAAATAATATAAATAAATGCTGAAGAGGATGTGGAGAAAAAGTAACACTTCTACACTGTTGGTGGGATTGTAAATTAGTAAAACTGCTATCGAAATTAGTTTAGAGGCTCCTCAAAAGACTAGGAATGGAACCACCACATGATTCAGCTATACTTACACATTATTATGACAATGCATTATGTATTACCTATGACAAAGAATACTGTTGATATAAAAAAAGAACCAAAAAAATGCTATTAAGAAAAAAAGAACAAAGTAGATATATTGGTAAGCTTTTTGACACAGTGACCAAAATACCTGACAAAAACAACTTAAAGGAGGAAAATTTTATTTTGGCTCATGATTTCAGAGGTTTCAGTCTGTGGTTGGCCATTGCTTTGCTTTGGGCCTGAGGCAAGACAGAACATCATGGGAGAAGGGTGTGGCTAAGGAAAGCTATTCAGCTCCTGACAGCCAGGATGGAGAAATAATGAGAAAGAGAGAAAGGGAAAGGGACAGGGACAAGATGAAGTCCCCAAAGGCATGCGCCCAAAGATCCACATCTTTCAACTTGGTCCCTCCTCCTGGTTTCCATCACTTCCAACAGTCCATTCAGTTATCAGTAGATTAATTTATTAAAGCCCTCATGATCCAATCACTTCCCAAAAGTCCTACTTCTGAACATTACTTCACTGGGGAAAAGCCTTTAACATATGAAACATTCCAGATCCAAATTATAGTACTTCTCCATTCATCTGTGTCTAAATTTATTCTGACTAGGACACCAATCATGTTGTAGGATCCACACTAGTGACTTCATTTTAACTAAATTACTCTTTAAAGACTCTGTCTCCAAATACAGTCACATTCTGAGGTTCCATGAGTTAGGGCTTCAGCACATGAAATTTTGGAGAACACTTGTGTACATGTACTAATATTTAACAACAGATCCCACCATTATGTACAATAATGCACCGAAGTAAAAATGTAGAGAAAAAGAAATTACAGAGAACACTATTCAACCCATAACATTTTCTAACATGGAAAGATGCCCATAATTTTGAGTTAAAAAAAAAAGTAAGGAGCAGAATATGTATGATGTGATTCCATTGTTTCCAAAATTAAAAAACAATACATCAAAATCACTGGTACATATTTATATGTGATTTGGGGTGCTAGAAAGATAAATACAGAGTTGGGGATGTGGCTCAAACAGTAGCGCGCTCGCCTGGCATGCGCGGCGCTGCTGGGTTCATTCCTCAGTACCACATAAAAATAAAATAAAGATGTGTCCACCGAAAACTAAAAAAAAAAAAATAATAATATTTAAAAATTATCTCTCTCTCCCTAAAAAAAAAAAGAAAGATAAATACACAGCTGTTAATAATGGTTCCCCTGGGAAAGGGGGAGGGACACATATCCACTCTCTTTTTATGAACATGGGTTACTTTTATAATTTGAAAAACTTTAATTTAGCTTAACAAGTACATCTATAATGTATACTGCAAAGGAGAAAATGTCCTTATTTAAATAGAATTCAATCCTAGGCAGATTATCAAAGACATAAACATGGGGGAGAGGGCAATTATACAGTGCCAAACTACAAATTATATAAAGAGGAAAATTAAAATGTATTGTTCTGATGTTGACTTTGATTATTTAAATATAGTTTAAAAGTTATCTTAGAAACACCTAAGATTTCACTGAATTAATAAGATTAAAAGGAGAATTCACCTTCTTTCCAAATTGCTCTAACAGACGATGGCAAACACATTATTCTCTTCATATAAAGTTAAGAATCAGAAAAAAATAAAAAGGAAAAGAAATATTTAAAAAACAAATATATGACAGAATAACTGAAATTGCCAGACTCAGCAATTTAGTGAGCATCTTAACAACTTAGTGAGATCCTGCCTCAAATTTTTAAAAAGTAAAAAGGGACTGGGGGTGTAGCTCAAGGGTAAAAGCACCCCTGGTTTCAATTTCCCATACCAAAAAAGAAAGAAAATTTAATTTATTGAATTCGTATGAGCCTGGCACTGTGCTAAGTGCTCTACACTATTTAGATAGCAGAGTTAAACCCTGCAAGTCTGCCTGACGTTTGTATTTGAAACAAGGCAAAGCCCTGAAGAGAACTCCACATCTTGGTTAGAAAACTTGAGGAAAGGAGGCTTTCTAACAACACATCTTGGTTAGAAAACTTGAGGAAAGGAGGCTTTCTGTCTCCTAGAGTGGCAAGATACACTAACCTGTGGAGGAGATGGGAAGACTTGTTATCTCTGTGGTACTCTGGGCTGAGACCACAGGTCCTTACCATGAGCCCCAGACACCACCCAGATGCATTAGAAAACCTCCAGGCCCAGATGCCCACAGTACAGGAAAGTGGCCCAGGAGCAGACATTTATAATCTGCCCTATATCTAAAAGCCCCTTGGTACTATCCCAAGAAAGGGGAATAGAGGGAAAACATGATCAACATTGCCTTGTATGCTAGCTCAGAAGACTGAGGGGATCAGAGTCAAAACTTAAATTTTTGAAAATAAAGTGCTAATTGTTGCAAGTCTGGATTTTTGGATTGAGATTCATACTGGTCATACATACTCTTCTCATTTGATTCTCATTTATTCTACAGATGAGGAAAAAGTTTTTCTTTTTCAAGGTTAACTTAAAAGTTTGTTTTGTTGTTGTCACAAAACCAGTCAACAGCAAACCTAGGACTCAATTTTAGGTCTACCTTGCATTTACCCATGCTAGCTCCTACTCTGTGTTTCCAGGAATAGGTTTTGCCTTCTTCCTACCATCTACATCCAATCCACTATTGACACATTCCAAATTTAGATGATAAGTCCCTTATCACCCAGATCCCATCTGTATCATAGACCATACTGTATTTTAATGACTTGTGTATATGTTTTCCTCCCCTAGGGCATGACTTCTTTTATTTATTTATTTACTTACTTACTTACTTACTTATTTATGTGGTGCTGAGGATGGAACCCAGTGCCTCACCCATGTTAGGCACAAGCACTCTACCACTGAACTACAACTCCAGCCCAGGACATGATTTCTTGTAGGCAGAAATTAAGTTTCTCCACATAATATGTGCTTTAGTTTTACAACAATAAAAAGTATCACTCATATCTGATAGTGTTTTCTACTAAACTCTGAGCTTGAAAAGATCAAAGGATACATCTGGTTTTACATACCAGTAAGTCCTGGAGCATAAAACAATGCCTAATGCAGACTGGATTTTCAATAAATATTTTGAATTAATAAATGAATAAGTCAATAAGTAATCTCTTCTATTTAACTGTGACTCTGAGTCATATTCCAAGAATAAGCAGCTTCTTGACATCCTTTCTTTGTAATGGGTTAGTATTTGAAATTTTAAATAAATTTAACATTTTTAAATCAGTCATTATTTTCCCATTTTCATCCTTACAATCACATAGAACATGATCTTCATCATTTTAAAGTGTGAGATTTTGATTCACCCTTGGATTTATCCTGTTGCAAACTGCTAGCAATTACTTTCAGCCTCTCTGAGCTAAATGCCAGAATGTCATGAATCAGGGGGTGGCACTTAGAGGTGAAGTGAACAGTTAGCCTCCAATTTACAAGCTTGCTTTCCCCTGGGATAATTGCGTTAAAGTCGCACGTTCCTGGGTGTGACCTTCTCCCAACACAATCTCCTTGACAAGTGGATTGATTACGTTTGACTACGCTTAATTAAATTAAAGATGTGGGAAAATTGAAGAGTTAAAATAGTATTTGTTAGGCAAGCATGTGATATTTAAAAAATACATACATGCTTTCAACGGAGAAACAAGAAAAACGTATTTCCAAATTACATTCCAAGAGGTGTGATTGGATTGACAGCCCCATGGACAAAGGAGAGGATCAAAAGCTTTTTTCCCTGTCTGCGTTCGGAGTGAAAGCGCTCACCGCCCCCGTGGGCGGGGCCAACGCAGCCCGAAGGCAGAGCGGGCGTGGTCGAGGGCGGGCTCGGGAACCAAGGGGGCGGGGCTGCAGAGGACGAGAGGCAGTCTGGGAAGCGGCGCCATATTGGCGTCGTCCGCGCTGTATTGTCATAAATAGAGCCGGTTTTGTGGTGTTTTCACTACTCGTTTGGATGCCTCGGCGGTAGTAAGTGGGGAAGTGAAAGAGCGAGCGAGCTGCAAGTGACTGCAGGAAAGTGGATACAGGGAGAAGGGAGCGACAAGAACAGGACTCCAGAGCGAAAGACACTCGCTGAAGAGGGAGACGCAGGAAGCGATGAAAGAGATGTCTGCGTAAGTGGTGGGGGGCGGCGGTTGAGGGCGAGGTGGGGAGAGGTGAGCTGAGGTGGTCATCCCGGGGCTTCGTTTCCCTTCCCTGACCCTAGTACTCTGCCCGCACCTTGCCTCAGTGATCTCCTTCCCCGTTCCCAGCCAGTCCGCAGTGGCACCTCCCCTATACCCGGTGGCTTACCTACCACCTCTGCCTGGACTCGGAGACTCAGGAGTCCCTGTCTACCCCCGCTGTCCCGCCTCTGAGGACGCCCCCAGACACTGATGAGGAGGGAGAGAAGTGCTTGTGTCCGTGGGGAGAAATTGTCGGTCACTCTCCTGTCCTCAGTACTGTCTGAGCCCGTCTGCTTCTGTCTGCATTGGCGCAAATATCATCCCCCTGCCTCCCCCTCCTCCCTGCCGGAGTGGCTGTCTTCAGGTCTTCAGGAGTGAATGACCTATTCCAGCCCAGGGGTTTCTGTTTGATAAAGGCCGAGGCCTTTTCGCCACTGACGCCCCCTCCTCGGGCCTCCCCACCTACCCACAATATCTACCGGTCTGTATCTCCTGCTCACACTTTGATAAGTCAGAAACAGTTTCTTTGCTTGCCAAGATTTTGTTAGAGCTTCTTTCGGTTTATTGGGAAATAATTTAAATATTCATATAAAAAAATGCAGAGAATAGCTGAAACACCGCTTGTGCCACCACCCATTTCTCCCAAAGAATAACACGCCAGTGTGTGTGTGTGTGTGTGTGTGTGTGTGTGGTGTCTGCATTTATTTATTTAAAAGAAGTCAGACGTTCCAGATACATCTGAAGGATTCTCATTCCCCCTTCTCTGGTCTCATTCACGCTCCTCTTCAGAGATCCCCACAGTTCTGAATTGGGTGTTTATTGTTGATGCATCTTTTTTATGCTTTATATACGTTCGTGTCTATAATAGCTGTAATTGTTTTACTTATTTTTAAACTTTATCTATAACTTAGTGTCACTTGTCATTCTGCAGCTTGTTTCTTTAGAGGAACATGATACCTCTCAGCTGTCCATGTTAATAGTTTCAGTTTTAATTAATTTACATTAACTAATGTGTTGTATTCCATCGTGGGGATACGACCAAATTTAGTCTTTTTCCTCTTAGTGACTGTTTAGGATATTTTAAGTTTTTAATGTTACAGTGTGGCAGGGAGCATTCTTTTACATGTCTTCTTGTCCACTTGTACTAGATTTTCTCTATGGTTTTTGCCTATAAGTGAAATTGATGGATTGAAGGGAATGTGCAATATACTGTTTACATTCCCCACCCCTTCCTGTTTAGATGAGGGAGGTTCAAAACCCTAGAATTGAGATTTTTATGATCAGTAGGGATCTCAATAGCCAACATTTTGAGAATACAGATAAGAAACTGAGACCTGGGACTATAGTGTCAGAAGTAGTTATGGAAGAGAAAATAGAATGGTGGGAAAAGGTTTTGGAGTTCAGATTCTGGCTCTTTTTCTCTCTTTGAACCTCAGGTGCTTTTCTGGAAAATAGCACTTATTCAAGACCTGCCTCTTGGTTATTGAGATTAATTGAATGGTAATATTTAATCAGTCTGTCCCATGTCTATCATATACACGTAAGCAAACACAAACAATACCAAAACACCTCTGTAGTTCACTGAAGATAAAAAGCCAAATTTTTAAAAGGAAATACAACTTGAGCAAGGTGCAGTGGTGCATACCTATAATCCCAGCAACTCAGGAGGCTGAGGCAGGAGGATCTCAAGTTCAAATATAGCCTTAGCAATTTAGCAAGGCCCTAAGCAACTTGGTGAGACTCTGTTTCAAAATAAAAAGGCCTGGAAATGTAGCTCACTGGCTAATCACTTCTGGGTTCAATCCCTGGTGCCCCCCCCCAAAAAAAAGTGTGTGTGTGTGTGTACATGTACACACACACACACACACACACATATATATATATATATATATATATATATATATATATATATATATATATATGAGAGACTTGAAATAACTAATAAACATTTACAAAATCAATGTTGAAGACAATTAAACTGGTATGTTTCTTGGAGTTTCTTGGTATGTTTCTTCTATTTGATTCTCCCCTCCCTCCCTGTGAAATCTGTAGCTAAAGAACATGCCTTATTTTGTAGGTTTAATAATAGTGGTGATAAGCCAATGTTTTGACTAGTTAAGTTTCAAAATAATTACTGTTGTATTTTTGTGATTTTAAATTTTATTTTTTTTGTAGTGAGTATTGAACTCAAGTGCCCACTGACCCACATCCCCAGTCCTATTTTGTATTTTATTTAGAGACAGGTCTCACTGAGTTGCTTAGTGCCTCGCCATTGCTGACGGCTGGCTTTGAACTCACCATCCTCTTGCCTCAGCCTCCCTAGTTGCTGGGATTACAGGCATGTGCCTGGCTGTGATTTTAAAATTTTGACACAGTAATTGTACATATTTATGGGGTACAGTATGATAGTTCAATTCATGTATATGATATATAATGATCAGAGTAGGGCAGTTACATGCTTTACCTTACACATTTGTTGGAAACATTCAAATTCACCACTATTTTGAAATGTGCAATAAATTGTTGTCAATCACAGTTGTCCTACTGTGCTGTTCATTTTCCTTTTCAACTGCAACCTTGTACCCATTAACATGCCTCTCAGGATTCTTCTGTGTCTTATTTTTATAAGACTATTTTATTCAAGTTAAAAGACTGCTTTTTATTTTGAGAGTATTTTCTTATTATTACTTGGTATTGATGACCCTTAGTGAAAGCATGGTGAAGATGGGTGGTAAGGTTAGTTGGTTAGTGTGTGTGTGTGCTTTTACTTTATTTTCACAGCAAAATAAGATGTTATAACCTTATTGGGTCCAAAATTTATTTTGAAGTCATTGGTCCATGTAAACCCCAAATCTCAGAAATCTATTGTATCTTATTCAAGAATGTAATTTCCTGATGGCTAGGGTCTGTGGAAGATCACTTGTATCCAGTAAAAAAGGTTGACATTTAGTATAAAGAATTGGGTAATTATTCAGTGTGAAATATTATTAGTGCCAATCCAAAATGAAGAGTTAAGAGTAACAAATGTTAGGATTATAAACTCTGATTCAAACAAAGGGTGTTGAATTTCCCAAGGAGAAATCTAATTGTGATTTCATTTAAAAGCCAGATTATTTCACAAGGACTTTCTGATGGTATGTTTTTGTTTGTTTCTTAGGAGGAAAAGCCCAATGGTTTTTACCAAGAAAGTTCTTTCTTTCAAGCATTTGCATTTCAAAGATTCTAGAAAGTAGATGGTACTTGACTTTAAATCTGCAGGGTGTAGTGGAGGTAGCCTTGGCACAGATCTCATTTAGGTTTTTTGCATTCAAAGTAAGTGGTGTTATGCCAACACATGCTGCTTTTGGCTTGAAAAGTCCCCATTTTTCCTTTAAAAAAAGTGCCTGCCCAAACTGTTAGTACTAAATTAATTTCTAAGGTAGCTCAGTTAACATGAGTGGATTGAGAGGGTGAATGTATCAGTATGATATGATACTTTAAATTTTTTCTACTGTTTCCTTTTTCTTCAATAGAAACACCATGCTGGACAGCCAGCGTCAACAAAAGCATTATGGAATTACCTCTCCAATTAGTTTGGCATGTCCTAAAGAAATTGATCATATTTATACACAGAAATTAATTGATGCCATGAAGCCATTTGGAGTATTTGAAGATGAGGAAGAACTGAACCACAGGTATGTCATTGAAAACTGTAAAATATTTTATTGTATCTTATTTAATCATTAATTCCAAAAACATATATTGAATGCCCACTATATCCCTACCTAGAGATACAGACATGACAAAAAGAAAATTTTTGGCCCACCCTACAGCTTACATTTTAGGTGGAGTTTAGAAGAGACTAACAGTCAAATAAGTAAGATAAATACAGTATTACACATAAGTGCTACTGAGAAAGATAAAGCTGGGAGTAGAGGTTTTCAGAGAAGGCCTCATTGAGAAAATGACATTTAGAGGAAAATATGAATATGGGTGAGAAGGTGGATATTTGAGGGGAAAACATTCTGGATAGAAAGCCTGAGGTGAGAGTGTACCTGGTAGGTTTGAGTAGTACATAGTAAGTTCAGATCTGCTGAGTATCTGAAGCAGAGCAAGTAAGCAGGGAAATTGTAGCTTTAAGAAAGTGAGGTGGGAAGGGACTTGGACTTTGGACCTTGTAATGCATTTTCAAGATTTTGGTTTATTCTGAATGAAAGGTAAAGCTATTAGGGCTTTGAGGAGAAGATTAACATGATCTGACTAATGTTTTTTAATACAGTCACTCTGGCTGCTATATTGGGAATAGTCTGAAGAGGGGTGCAAGGGCAGAAGCAGAAAGATTATTTAAAAGGCCATTATAATAACCCCAGGAGGAAATTATGGTACTTGGAACCAGAGGATGGCAGTGGAGGTGATAAATAGTAGAATTTGGGATACATTGTTAAGGTAGGGTTATTTAATGACTGTGGAATATGAGAAAGACAATGCCAAGGTTTTCAGTCTCAGCACCTTGAAGGATGGAGGAAAAGCAAATTCATTTTCTCATGTTATCTTTTATATCCCAAACCTTCTTTTTTTTTAATGTTGATTTATTTGTGGCATTGACTGCAAATTTGTTTTAATAATACCAGACTGCTCTTATTAAATAATATACTTCACAAAAATTAGCCAGTAATTAATTTGCCCATTTTAATTACTCAAAGACTTATTACTGGCAGTGAGCAAATGCTAGCCTCTAGTACCACATTGAGTTTATCTAATTATTACACAATAAAGCAAAGAAAATTGACAATTCTGTTGGCCTCTGCAATTCACAGAAGATAACTTTGTGATTTTTACTAGATTTTTTTCAATTTTGAAAATAGTTCAGAGACCAAAATACTGTCATCACATTTATCATCTCTTTGGCACTCTTAGGGATCTAAGAATGGCAAAAATTTGCTGTGTATCAACAGATGTGATAGTATTAGCATATATACAATGTGTTTTTACTCAAACACCAACACAGAGATACTGTCTATATGTTTGTTTCTTTAATATTTTTTTAAAGTTTTAATGTTACTTTTTATTATAGGTTGGTTGTTCTTGGTAAATTGAATAATTTAGTAAAAGAATGGATATCCGATGTCAGTGAGAGTAAGGTAAGATTCTATCCTACATGGAATTCTTTGTTTCATTATGTCCTGGTCTTTTGTCCTAGTAGTAAGATGCAAAAGTTGAGAATTATCTGAAACACATTATAACTTAGCTCTGGTGGTATACAGGGGATAAATTAGTCTAGATAATTTAATTTCTAAGTAGGTGAGGATTTACCCCAGAGGTGGCAAATTATAGCTGCAAGTTCACATAATTTTTTTTTGATCCATATGTAGTAGGCCAAAATTTAAATATGAGGAGATTTTATTTAAAAAACTAGATTTCAGACTTATTATGAAACATCAGATCTGGCAACACTGGGCCTGTTTTCGTACTCAGCAGAAAGGCTTGAATGGGACTGGGTTCCTGCTCTCTAGTACTCAGTACTTCCTGCTGCCACTATTCCCTGTTCTTTCTGACAAGGCAAGTGCCATTCATCAGATTCTGTATTTCTCATGTGGGAGTTCCTTATTTGCATACCTGCTTGGCCTCTAAGACGTAGGAATTTGTAAACACAAATTTATAGTTATGCAAGTAGCTTAACTGTTTTTCCTCTGAATTATATATTTTTCTTTTTTAGAATATTTTGAATATAATTGAATTTTCATTATTGTCTCATAATCACTGTGAATATTATTTTAATGGCTGGACTATAATTAAATGGGGCATGTTCAATTGGGAGTTAACTATTTTAGTTAGCAGGTAGCATTTCATCACTAAAAAAATTGTTAAGACAGACTCTATGAAAAAAGAACATTTAGTTAGTTTGTAATTTTGGAAGTTTGAGTCCAAAATTAGGCGACCCTTTTGCTTTGGACCTTTGGTGAGGATAGTGAATGGCAGTAGTAAGAGTTTATGTCAGAACCAGTAGCACATCCCCATCCAGGAAATAGAACCAGTGGAGTTTCACAGTTCCTTTTGTAGTTAGTTACGAATTACCGCCTTACCTCTTAAAAGTCCATACCACCTCCCAATACTGTCACCCTAGAGACCAGTCCTTTAACATATAAACCTTTGGAGGACAAGTGGTCTGCTCACATTCAGACCACTTGTCCTTCATCAGGTAACTCAAACTATTATATTATAAACTTGGTTTGTTTTTTAAATAATAATTCCATCCCTTCCCATAGTAGCAATTGAAAGTTCATGTCTGCCAACTGGTATCTATAAAGTCCCTTTATGCCCCTTAGTCTGCATGGGTTTAGAAATTAGATAAACATATCATACAATTATTTCTTTTACAACTTTTATTATTTATTTCTATACCTATGATAAATATGTAGATTTGATTCTTATAAACAATGACTCAAGTAAGGTTAGGATTCTCCTAAGACTTTAGTCATTGAGTTTAACAGTCTTTATGCTATTTACTATTTACTCTTATTGCCAAAAGGCTATCTGGCTCATTTCTAAGCTCTCAGCAAGGTTATCAACAGTGGAGTGATATGTCAGATTCTGAGCATGTGAAATCCTTGTTACTAGTAATCAGAAAGGAAGTTTTGACATTTTTCACTGAGTCGATAAGGTCATTTGCTATGTCAATTGTAATTCTTTGGTTTATGCATGTTTTAATTTGGAAAATAACTGAAGGGTTTGTGTTAGAAACTCTAAATGGTCTAGAACACCAATTCTGATTATTTCAGCTAAATGATTATGTTTTAAAACATTTTACCAGACTGGTGTTGTGGCTCAGCAGTAGAGCACTCACCCAGCATGTGTGAGGCCCTGGGTTCGATCCTTAGCACCACATAAAAATAAATAAAGGTATATAAAAAAAATATTTTACTTATGATTCAGTGTATTGCTTTCTCACAAATCATGCAAGGTTTTTAAATTTCAAAGTAGAAAGGTAAACTAAAAGATTTTTCAATGTTTGGCTTATCTTTTGATTCATGTTAGTTATTAATAAATTTACCAACTCCTTTCTAGCTATAAAATTGTGATACTCTTGAAACATTAATATTCATTAAACAGAAGAAGTAACAAGCATATTCTTCTATACAGATAGTTCTATTCAGGTTAATGAACAGATGTAACTTGTACTAGGTATTATAGGAAAATACAGAGAAGTAATAGATACAATTCTCACCTTTGAGGATTTAAATATGGTTGGAGAGGAGACATTTATGGGTCAATAAGTGTAGTATAAAGATTTTAATAGTGGAGGAGCACAGAGGAAAAAGAGCTTGTTAACTGAATAAGAATAGTCAGGGAAGGAAGTCTTTACGGAAGAGGTAGAAATTGAAATGAATTGTGAAAAAAGTATTAAAGATACTCAGAGAGGCATGCATTTGAAGCAGGTGCAATGACAAATGCAGTAGAAAGGAGATTGGGTTATGGAGTAACTTCAGAAAGGAAGTTCCATAAGAGCACAGTGTGGAGATCTTCAGGCCCAAGAATCTTTACCTCAGTAGTCCAGGAAGATTGCACTGTAAAGTTTTGAGCAGAAGTAGTATGTAATGGAATAATTTAGGAACATAGAATAAGAGAAAAGAAAGACTAAGGGCAAGATTATATAGCTTAGGATAACTATTAAATAGCCTGAAGTTAGGGGAAGAGTAGTTGATTAGAATGGTAGCAGCAAATTTAAGAGATATGAACTAAGAATTAGCCAAAAAGAATAATAATGATTAGTTTAGGCAGTATGGATAATAAGAAGTAGCTTGCTTTTTTTTTTTTTTTTTTTTTAAGTTGTAGTTGGACACAATACCTTTATTTTATTTATTTATTTTTATGTGGTACTGAAAATCGAACCCAGGACCTCACACATGCTAGGCGAGTGCTCTACCGCTGAACCAAAACCCCAGCCCCAAAGTAGCTTTTTAATTATGGTACAATCATAGAAATATTAATTGAAGTTATTAGATTAGCTCTCATGAAGATATCATATTAAGAATGACCTCACTTTCCTGAGAAAGCTTGCAGAAATAGAGTCAAGAAATTAAACATACTTTAAGGGGAAATGGGATAGGCTGAGAATATCATGTTGTAAATAGCTGAAAGCTCATTAATTTGTAGTTAAGAGTTCCCTGGTGACTGTTAAAAGTGATCAAGCCAAAAGACAGGGATTTGGAAAAGTCAGGTAGAGTCAAGTGATGAAAAAAAGTTTATATTTAAGAGAGAGATGTAGAGATGTGGGGCATGTGTAGTAGACATGAATGTTTTGTCCTCCCTCTGGAAATACCCTCTTTATTTCATGTCACAACCAAAAGACCCCTGAAGTGCTTTAACAAATCCCATTTTACCAAGGCTGTAAATGTACTGTGTAACATATGCTGAATAAAATGTAGTAAGCATTTAGACACTTTAAAATTTTTTTTTTTATTCTTTTAAGCTATACATGACAGTAGAATGTAAAGATGTTTTTTGTACAAAATAACTTGAACTATTGAATGTCTTTTGTGTGATTTTATTTTAGAATCTCCCACCTTCTGTTGTGGCTACGGTTGGTGGTAAAATTTTCACATTTGGATCCTATAGGCTTGGAGTACACACCAAAGGTAACTGGTTTGGGTTATATTCTAGTGATAAGAACTTTGAGTACATGCTTATTTGTTCATAGAAAATATAAAAGCAAAAAATTCCCACTATCACCACTCAGAACTAATCTTTATTTATTTATATATTTATACATATAAATATATATATATATAAATACACAGTGGAATGCATTATAATTCTTATTACACATATAGAGCACAATTTTTCATATCTCTAGTTGTATACATAGTATATTCACACCAATTCGTGTCTTCATACCTGTACTTTGGATAATAATGATCATCACATTCCACCATCATTAATAACCCCATGTCCCCTCCTTTCCTCTTCAACTCCTCTGCCCTATCTAATGTTTGTCTATTCCTCCCATGCTCCCGCTCCCTATCCTACTATGAATCAGCCTCCTTATATCACAGAAAACATTTGGCATTTGGTTTTTTGGGACTGGCTAACTTCACTTAGCATTATCTTCTCTAACTCCATCCATTTACCTGCAAATACCATGATTTTATTCTCTTTTATTGCTGAGTAATATTCCATTGTGTATATGTGCCGCATTTTTTTTATCCATTCATCTACTGAAAGGCATCTAGGTTGGTTCCACAGTTCAGCTATTGTGAATTGTGCTGCTATAAAAATTGATGTGGCTGTGTCCCTGTAGTATGCTGTTTTTAAATCCTTTGGGTATAGGCTAAGGAGAGGGATAGCTGGGTCAAATGGTGGTTCCATTCCCAATTTTCCAAGAAATCTCCATACTGCTTTCCAGATTGGTTGCACCAATTTGCAGTCCCACCAGCACTGTAAGGGTGTACCTTTTTCTCCACATCTTTTCAACTAACATTTTTCTTATACACACCTTCCATACTTTGTTCTGTACATATGTTTGCATGAACTTTAATGAAAATACATAGTATGCTTTTCTTCATAAGAAATACTTTGATTTGTAGGAGCTGACATCGATGCACTTTGTGTAGCTCCAAGACATGTAGAAAGATCTGATTTTTTTCAGTCTTTTTTTGAAAAATTGAAACATCAAGATGGCATTAGAAACTTAAGAGTAAGTATCCTTTCGCATTTGATATTTTGAAATTAGTAACCTAGTTATCCTAGGTCTTAGGATTATTGAAATGCCTCATAAGAAGTTGCTGTTTTGTTAAACTAACACATAAAGAGTAAGAACACAGGCTTTATAATTATACAAACCTGGGTTTTCAACTGGAATACCACTTTTAGCTCTTAGACCTTAGTTGTTACCTACTCTCTCTGAGCCTATATTTTATATTTTATTTTTATTTATTTATTTTTATTTTATATTTTATCTTTATTTTAAAGATATGGTGATAACATTTTTATAAGATTTTTTTACGGATTGGTGAGATAAGTTATATAAACCATTTACTGTAGTATCTGATAAATGGTTGATACATAATCAAATTGTGTGTGCTATTGAGTGAAGGTTCAGTTAGTAACTATATATCTAGCTATTCATTCAACAAATAAAATTTTAATAGCAATAATTTGCAGTTACTGGCCTTATTCCTACAAATATAATTTTTTATTGGTCAAGAGTTTTGATTATTTTAAAATTTCTAACACTAGTGCTGTTTCTAAATAATCAGTTTTCACTTCAGACCCAAGAAACAGTAAGTATCCAACTGACAACATTTCTGCTTTCCAGTTTCTGACAAAAATTTTTAGGAGGATAATAAATTTAATATTTATTGTCATAGGCATTTTGTTTATCTTAAGTAACACAGGTCACAAAGTAGAAGTCCTTAACCTGAATATAAGATGAAGAACATTTTTTATTTTTTCTGTTGAGTTAAAATACAAATTGGAAACAAAGAGATTTACGTTACTGGCACTTAGGAAGTATAGAGAGAGGATTAACCTGTGTGTTATAATTGTTTTCCTCTTTTGTAGGCTGTAGAAGACGCTTTTGTACCTGTTATAAAATTTGAATTTGATGGTATTGAAGTAAGTGTTTATATTCTTCTGACTTGATAAATGAACTGTTTAACCAATAAGATTTTTTGTTGGGGGAAAAAAAAGATTTTTGTTTTGTTTTATAATCCCTCAGTGCAGGAGAATGATACCCAGGGGTGCTATATTATTGAGCTTCATCCCTATCCCCTTTATTTTTTATTTTGAGACAGAATCTCATTAAGTTGCATAGGCTGACCTCAAACTTGTGATCCTCCTACCTCAGCTTCCCAAGTAGCTAGTATTACAGGCATGTGCCTCATCTAATGTAGGCACGTATCTTAAAAGAATTAAATAGTAATCTTTAAATAGCCCCTCACCTTCCTCTTTCTTATTTCTGTTGGCTTCTCACCATGGAAAATGAACAAACCTCCCTCTCTACCCCCATGGTTTTTAGATATATCTTTCTTTTTCTCATAATTTAAAATAATTGTATTATTATAATTTTAGTTGGAGCAGTATTCTGTGTTTACATTATTATGATCTTACAAGCATATTCAGAGCTGAGCACTAAACATCCTAGATTACCATTCTTTGCTATGTGATATTTTATTTTCTTAGATGTAAATAATTGTTTGGGGTTTGTCATCTTGGAAAAAAACTGAGACTTTTCACCTGTTCCAATCTAAGCTGATTGTTTTTTGTGAATAGTATACAGCTGTCATCCTGGCATCTTCCTTTGCCAATATCTTGTAATTTCCTTTTGCTTCTCTCTAGAATTTTTTTCTTTCTGTTTACTCTCGTTTTTAATGGAGCTCATCCACTGACTTACTGAAAAAGTATATTGTTCAATATCTTGCATGTTTAAAAAGTGCATTCATGGGGCTGGGGATGTGGCTCAAGCGATAACGCGCTCACCTAGCATGCGCGGGGTGCTGGATTCGATCCTCAGCACCACATAAAAATAAAATAAAGATGTTGTGTCCACCAAAAACTAAAAAAAAAAAAAAAACTCATTCCATTCTTATACTAAATTGATAATTTGGTTGGTTATAGCATTCTAGGTAGGAGATTATTTTTCTCAGAATTTTGAAGGCTTTTCTTTATTGTCTTCTAGCTTTCATACTGCATTGAAACATGTATTGCCATTTTGATTCCTCATTCTTTGTATATGCCAAGTTTATCTTTTGGAAGTTTGTTTTTTTTTTTTTTTTTTTTGCTTTTGTTTCCATAGTTGTAAAATTCATGGTGATGTACTTGGGCTAGTGTCATTTCAGCCAGTGTTCTAGGCAGTCAGTCATTCTCTTTCAATTTGGAAATTTCATCCTTTAGTTTTTGGAACTTTTATTGAATTCTATGGTGTTTCCTGCCTTTGTCTGCTTTCCATCCGCCACCCTCACCCCCACCCCACCCCACCCCCGCCAAATTTTTATTTTGGATCTCCAGAACAGCCTGCTTTAATCACATCATTTTAATTTTGTTCTGGGTTTTTTTTGGGGGGGGGGGGTTAATCTTTCGAACTTGCTTTTTTTCATTTGTACCGTCCTATTTTTAATTTCTAAAAATAATTTTATTTTCTAAATGTTCCTTTTTATTTATGATGTGCTTACAGTTGTCTGTCCTTAGTTCCTGAATGTATTTTCTATCTGTTTTGCTAGGTCTACTGGAACTGTTATCACTTGTTCATCTGCTTTTTAGCTTTCATAGTTCTTTCTGTCTCTTTCTATCTCTTTGTCCTAGTGGATTATGGCTTTAAATTCAAATTAACCAAACAGAATTTATCTGATATTTTAGTTGGGTTTCAAGAAGGAGTGAATGTAAATGTGTGTTGGATCTTCCATCTTTATTTAGAAATCCACTCAAACGATTTTTTTTTTTAAAACACTTGGCATATATGTTAAAAGTCACAATATTTGCCAAAACCAGAAATTTTAATTATTGTAAAACTTCACTCACATGAGATTACCTGCATACATCCTTCAGGTTTTGATAGAATTTAACAATTAATAATTAGAACTTTTTACATTTTGATGTGGGATGGGGGAGGCTGAGCTGGAAGAAGAAAAAGTAATATTTTTTCTTTTTTTTGCCTCTTTCCAAAGATTGATCTAGTCTTTGCAAGACTGGCAATACAAACCATATCAGATAATTTAGATCTAAGAGACGACTCTCGCCTGAGAAGCCTTGATATAAGGTGTATTCGCAGCTTAAATGGTAAGCTTCTAAAAAGAAATCTCAGATACTACTTGAAAACAGACAAGTAGAGCTCTTTTTGTAGAAATATTAATGGCCTTTTTAGGGATTGGACTAACTCTGTTATTTATAAGTTAAGTTGGATGGGAGTGTAGCTCAGTGGTAAAGCACATGCTTAGCATGTGAAAGACCCTGGGCTCAATCCCCAGCATATACACACATGCAAAGATGATGTAATTTTATTTGTGTAGATAATATATAGATACCATGACCATCCTGTAAACCACAAATTAAATTCGAAAGGTTGTTTATGTTTTTAGTTATAGTTCACAAACTTATTGGTCTCAGGACCATTAAATCTTAAGATTTATTGAAAACTACAAAGTGCTTTTGTTTATGTGAATTATATAAGTCAGTATTTACCATATTAGAAATAAAATCAAAATTATAAATAATTATTAGTTCATTTAGAAATAATAGTAATAAATCCATTATAAGTTAATGTAAATAAATTTTATGTGTAAAGAATGACTTAAATTTTTCAAATCTCTTTACTCTTTGACTTAACAAAAGTCAGCTAAATTATTCTATCTGCTTCTGTAGTCAACTTCTTAAAATATATTGTTTTTGTTAAAATATAAGAAGAAAATCTTGCCTTTCACTATAAAGTTGAGAAGGGGGAATGTTTTAATAACCTTTTCAGATAATTGCAATTATTCTTATTTGATAGTACACCAAAACTTGACCAGTGACAGTTTTTTTTTCTTTTCAACAGCTTTTTGAGATATAATTACATACCATAAAATTTATCCTTTTCAAGTGTACAGTTCTATGTTTTAGTGTGTTCACAGAGTTGTACACCATGATCTAATTTTAGAACATTTCATCATTCTCAAAAGATCCCTCATACCCATTTGCAGTCATTTTCCCTTCCAACCCCTGCCCCCCATCTCAGGCAACCACTAATCCTCTTTCTGTCTCTATAGTTTGCCTCTTCTCACATTTCATATAATTGAATTATGTAATATGTGGTCTTTGTGTCTGACTTCTTTCACTTAGTATAATGTTTGTGAGTTTCATTCATGTTTGTAGTTTGTTACTTTTTTATTGATGAATAAAGGTGGTAATTTCTAAAAGGTTAATTACAATATTGAATCTAAAATCACATCAATGAAATTTTGTACTCTCACATGAAAATTTGCTGTTTTATCCTTTGAATGGATCTTATGGATCCTTTCCTCATGTGTGGTTTTATACTATATCATGCCTTGGTCATTTGGAAAATACCGATTCAGAGTTATTTGTATTTTCCAAATGTTAACACATTTCAGTATAAAATATTTTCTAGATTGCATTCATTATTATCACCACCAATTTTGTTAGAAGTCTGCCAGGATCACAGTAGCAGATAAACGTTATCCAATGTTCTAATTTAACAAAGTTTGCATTTTATTATTGGCAATAAATTGTGTCATTTGTTTTCCTCGTGTCATTTGTTTTCCTTGAAGTGAGGAGCTTACTTAGGTCAATTTTTAGTAACTGACTGTGAATAACCATAGTTTATCTGTCAATCATACTTTCAAGTAAAATTGATGTTCCTTGAAAAAAAAAAAAACAAACAAGTAGTTCAGCCTACAGTGCAAACTCTCATACTCATTTTTCCTTTATTTAACTGTGTATGTTAGTAAACCATGTATTATATTCTAGTACACTTTGTTGCCATTGCCTTGATTACTTGCTAAAGTATTAACAGGGATGCTTTTGTACCAACAGTGCAAATGTTAATACAGTAAGTAGGACAAAGAAAGCTTTGGTACTATTATAAAAATGGTTTTAACCTCACGTATTCTAGAGGGTCCAAAGTCTGTACTTTGAGAACCATTGGTTTTAAGTATCTTGCTTAATTTGTTATACTTTCAGAATGTAACAATAAATCACATTATTTGTGAATAAGGTTTGTGTTGAAGCAAGAACAGTTTTACAACTTACATGCATTTAACAAAGTCAAATAAAGAAAAAACTAAAAAGATACTTAGAACCACATCTACTTTAATACTGGATTTCATTGCCCATACACTTTTAATTCTTCAAAAGCAGAGTACTTATATGTGAATGCTAAATTTCAAATACATATATAAAATAAACCCTGACATATATCTTTCATTTTTAACATTTGGGAATCTGGAGGTTAGGAGGAGGGTATTTTAATTCAGTTTTGTTGCATAGTGGAAAATGAATGTTTTGTCTTTTTCAGGATGTAGAGTTACCGATGAAATTTTGCATTTAGTGCCAAATAAAGAAACTTTTAGACTCACCCTAAGAGCAGTCAAATTATGGGCAAAACGTACGTATCCAAGTCTTTTATGTTTACGTTATAAAATTCCAGTATTCTGTTGCCAGTGATAGAAGCACATATGGAAATTCTAAGCCTATTGATAACTATTAAGGATTGGGGCTAGCAGACTTAGAAACAGCTATTTGTTTTCCAATTATAATGATTATGATATTGTAATATGTGACTCTGCTTCCACCTTCCTTGGGTTAAAACTAAAAGCCCCTTAACCTTCCATCTTGGATTTCAGCCAGGCGCTCACAACTTGAGAGGCCCTTTACCTAGTCCTCATTCCGTATTATTTGTAACTTCAGTTACATGTCTCTTAACAATGGTGATACATTCTGTGAAATGCATTGTTAGATGATTTTATTGTTGTGTGGAAATCAGAGAATGTACTTACATAAACCTAGATGATAAAACCTACTATACACCTAGGCTATGTGATACAACTGTTGCTCCTTGGTTGCAAACCTATGTCGCATGTTATTGTACTGAATACTGTAGGAAGTTGTGACACAACGTAAGTATTTGTATATCTAAAGATATGGGTGGGTCAGTGAACAAGCAGTGAGTGAATGTAAAAACCTTGGTCATAGGGGCTGGGAGTTGTGGCTCAGTGGTAGAGCACTTGCCTAGCACTGGTGAGGCCCTGGGTTCTATCCTAAACACCACATAAAAAACAACAATAAATAAAATAAAGGTTAAGTTCTTTTTTTAAAAAGTATTTTTAAAAAATAAAAAACCTCAGTCATTACTGTACACTACTGTAGACTATAAACATTGTATGCTTAAGCTACACTAAATTTATAAACAAGTTTTTTTCTTTCTTTAGTTATAAATTAATCTTAGTTTACTGTGACTTTTTTACTTTACAAACTTTCCTTTTTTTTTTTTTTAACTTTTGGACTCTTGTAATATCATTTAGCTTAAAACATAGACCGCAGTAGTACTTGGGTGATTAATGCAGGAGGATGGCTTGAGCTCAGAAGTTCAAGGACATCCTGGGCAATATAGCAAGATCCTGTCGCTTAAAAGAAAACAAAACAAAAACATATTGTACAGCTTTACAAAGAAAAAGAATTTGAGGGAGTACTGGGAATTGAACCCAGGAGTTCTTTATCACTGAGCCACATCCCCAGACCCAGATCTTTTTTAAGAAAGTGTTGTTGAGGCTGCCCCAAACTTGTGATCCTCCTGCCTCAGCCTCCCCAGTCACTGAGAATGATGGGTGTATGCCATCACACCTAGCCAAAAATATTTTTTCTTTATATCCTTATTATATAAGCTTTTTAAAATTTAAAATATATACTTTTAAGTTTTGCTTTAATACTCTTTTAAGTAATTAAGACATAGGCCTACATAGGATTAGGATCATTATTATTACTGTCTTCCATCTTCACATCTTGTTCCATTAGGCCTCACAGCCAGTATGCATGAGCTGTCATCACCTGTAATAACAGTGCCTTTTTCTGGAATACCTCTCTCAGGACCTGCCTCAAGCTTTTCTTGGGGAAATATATTACTCTTTTCAGAAATATGTCCATATGCTTGTTTTGTTTCATGTTTTCATCATTGATTTACTTATAAGCAGATAATGCACCATGAATTCCTTTCTCTTAATGAAAATCCTTTCTGTGTTGGAGGTCCCTGTTTTCAGTTTTTTGTTTTATTTTGTTTCGTTTCGTTTAGTAGTGGGGATTGAACCCAAAGCCTCATACATGCCAAACAACCTCCGTACCACTGAACCATATCCATATTCCTTGTTTTCAGACTTTTTAGAGAGCTTGTTAAGGTTTGCATTAGCTTCTGCTATACCCTTCAATGTGAATTTTCTTGGTGGTGGTGGTTCTTTTTTTTCTGCAGTTTCCTTTTTTCTTGCCTTTTCTTCAGCTATGTATTCATGAGGAGGTGGGAGTTTATTGTCTCCATTGTAGTCTTAAGGGAACACCATCATATATGGTCTGTCATTGACTGAAATGTTGTTATGCAGCTCATGACTGCACGTTTAAAAGATTTTTACACTTCTGGCTCCATATTTTACATAGTTTAAAACAACACTCCAACAAAGTTTTGTGCAATTACAGAAATGTTTTCTTATCTGTGTTGTCAAATACAGTAACCTTATGACTATAGAGCTCTTGAAATGTGCAACTGGAGAACTGAATTTTAAATTTGTATTTCATTTCAGTGAATTTAAAGCTAAATAGTTCCCAAAGGAAGTGAAAACATATACACTAATTCTTGTATGAAAATGTCTCCAGCACAATTATTGATAATAGCCAAAAAGTAGAAGTCATATGTTCATAAATTGACGAATGAATAAACAAAAGGTGATATATCTACACTAAAATAGTATTTAGCAGTAAAAAGAAATGCAGTACTGATACATGATACCACATACATGAAGCTTGAAACCGTTTTGTTACGTGAAAGAAGCTCGTCATAAAAGACTGTATAGTGTATGATTCCATTTATATGAAGTGACCTTCATAAGTATTTCTGGAGAAACATAAAAGTGTATTAATGGCTACCCACCTCTGGGAGAATTGAGGGGGAAGAGTCGAAGTGTCACTGTTAGAGGTTTCTCTTTGGGGTGATGCAAATGTTTAGAAGTGACTATAGTGGTAATTGCAAAACTCTTTGAGTATACCAAAAACCATTGAATTGTTTAAAATGGATGAGTCTTATGGTACGTGAATTTACATCAGTAAAACTGTTCACCAAAAAACAAAAAGAAAAAAGAAATAGCCACATGTGGCTTGTGGCTACCATATTGAACAATGCACTTTGTCCTCAGATTCAAGTACATTTTGCAGTGAAAGAATAAGGTGAACAATTTGCTATGTGTGTGTGTTTTATTGAGCCCATGGCCTTGTACATGCTAGATAAGTACTTTACCACTAAACTATATCCCCAACCTTTTTATTTTAGGTTGAGGCAGAGTCTTTGCTAAGTTGCCCAGATTGGCCTTTAACTTGCTATCCTCCTGCCTCAGCCTCCTAAGTAACAACAATTTGTTTTTCCTTACAGATTAAATATCATATTTTTTCAATTCTTAGATGCATATTTTTTACATTGAACATGTCCAAAATTGGCATTTTATAGTTGAATTTTTTCCACCTGTTCCTTAATGGGACATAAAATAATGTTATATAATTGAGAGCATCTTAGGTTTGGTGAAACAAGGTAATAATAATGTTTTATAGATTGCTGTAAGAAACAGTTTTATAATAGATGAGTATATCAATGGTGTATTATACTTTATGGAGTGGTACCAGATTCTGTGAGATACTGAAGTTTATTGCCAATTTTACACTTGATTTTCAAATACTACCCATGAGTGTGATTATTTATGAAATGTTCATTCTTCCCCATTTATAGATCCTCCAGATGCCTTTACTGATTACTTTTTTCTCTAAATCACAAATATTAAATGATGAGAAATTTCAATGTAATTTCAGTAGAGCCCAGCTGTAGAGTTGGAACTAAGGCAGGGAACTGAGGTGTCTGTATTGGAAGGCAAAATAGACGTAGTAAGAGGAGCAATTTATGGTTGACTGTGGGCCTAGCATGAAGTGTTGCTTGTCAGTTTTAATGTGTCAATAAGGGAAAACATTCTAAACAGGTCTTAAGGATGAAGTTATACTATTGAATGTCAAGGATAGTTGATCTAAACAATAATTAACAAATGTAATTAATTTTCTAGGACGTGGTATTTATTCCAACATGCTGGGATTTCTTGGTGGTGTCTCCTGGGCAATGCTAGTTGCAAGGACTTGCCAATTGTATCCAAATGCTGCGGCTTCTACTTTAGTTCATAAGTTTTTTTTAGTTTTTTCCAAGTGGTAAGTATTCATATGTGTGTATGTATATGTATTTTGATGTTTACTAACTTCTGCCTATATGTAATTTTATTTGGAAATTTAAGACCTGTACATAGATTTTTTTTTCTGTTTTACATTCCTTAAATTAAAAGTTTAAAAACATCAAATTGGTGGGAGGCAATAGTGGGACGTCCAGACCAGAAAGCATTTTTTTTTTAACTTTTAAAATTGAAACAAAAATTGTACACATTTATAGAGTACCATAATATATTGTTATGATAAATGTATACGTTGTATACTATTCAAATAGGGTAAACATATCTACTCAGACTTTTTTTTTTTTTTTCATTGAAAATGTTCAAACTCTTTTTTGGTAGCATTATCTATAGTATGTGTTCACTAGAATGTACTTATTTTACAAACTGTAACTTAGTACCCATTGACTAGCATGTCCCCATACCTCTATCTGACCTACTTTTCCAACCTCTGGTAACCACTAATCTGCTTTTAACTTCTATATCAACTTATGTGAAATCAGTATTTTTTAAATTCTACATATGAATGAGATGATGCAGTGTTCGTCTTTCTGTGCCTGGCTTATTTCATTTAACATAATGACCTCCATTTCCATCCATTTTGTCACAAATGATTGGATTTCTGGATTTCACCCCCCCCCTCTGTGTGTGTGTGTGGGGGGGGGGGGAGATTCCACTCAAGGATTCAAGCATGCTAGCCAAGCACTTTACCACTGAACTATATCTCTAGCCCCCCTTTGTTTTTTTCTGATACTGGGTCATAGCAAATTTCCCAGGCTGGCCTTACACTTAGGATTCTCCTACAACCTCCAGAGTAGCTGGGATTACAGGCATATACTATCCTAACTCATTTCTTTTTTTGTGAATGAATACACTATGGCACAATAATTGTAAATGTGGATTTTTAGCTTGCAAGAATGGTTACAATACATTTGACTCTGCACATTACCAACTACGCAGAAGTGGTAAACTCTTCTCATCTGTACAATAGAGATAATAATCATAGCTACCATATTGGTAGTATTTTCAGTAAATGTTAGTTATTGCTGTTATTAAATTACCAAATTTAAATCTATGAAAGCAAATGAGAAGAAATGAAAAGATTCAGGTACCAATTAGTTAAGATTCAGGTATCAATTATTTATAACTAATAAACAACTGTTTGCCCATTTAAAAAACACTGCTTCAAAATAGTTTTCCTTTGTATATTTTCCCCTTACCTCTTTCTTTTCTTTTTTCTTTTTTCTTTTCCTTTCCTTTCCCTCTCCTCCCTAACCTCCCTATCCCCTCCCCTGTTTCTTCCTTCCTTCCTTCCTTCCTTCCCTTCTTTCAAAGTTACCCAAAATATCTGCTGTATAAAGGTTGGAACAGTCTAATGATTTTAGTTCTTAATATTTCATATAGTATCTGAAATGAGAGTCTATGTAAGTTAATATGCTTCATTCGTGTTAGGGAATGGCCAAATCCTGTGCTATTGAAGCAACCAGAAGAAAGCAATTTGAATTTACCCGTCTGGGATCCTCGGGTATGTGATTTATTGTGGAATTTCATTAAACCTTATAGTCTAAAGATAATTCCTCTTGTTCCCATTCTTCTCCCTTCTGTATAGCTGTGCTCCTTTCATTCCCTTCGCTGTGTTTTTTGGCATGGATGATTTGAATCTAATGCTGATCCAAATGTTATTTCATTAAAAATTGCCTATGTAAGATTAGATGAGTGGGACTAGGGCTGGAGCTCAGCGGTACAGCACTCATCTAGCATGTGCAAGGCACTGGGTTCTATCCTCAGTACCACATAAAAAGTAAATAAACTAATATAAACAAATAAATAAAGGCATTGTGTTCAACTACAACTAAAAAAATATTTTAAAAGACTAGATGAGTGTGTATATCAACCACAATATCATAATCCATGGTGAAAAACTGTCTCACAAGTAATTAGTTACTAAAAATAAAGTACCGAGATATATTAGAAAACTTACATTGCAGTACAATTTAAACCACATTTCTGTTTCCAAGATAGCATAATTTTTGTGTACTTTGCATTTTAATTTGTTTTTAGCTTGAGTGCTCCTTCGTCTTATAACTAAGGGGAAGTCATCAATTGAGTGGGTGCATTGAAAACCATTGGACCAGATAATGCTTTTTATGATTATGATACTCTAATTTCCTTGGTTCTAAATGACTATTATTTGGAAGGTGCACCATTGATTTAACAGTTTTTCTGAAGAAAAATAAACTGCAAAAGGGTCCTTTGACTTTGATTATTAGACACATCTAACTTCAGAAAGAATTGTAGTTGGGGAGGGGAAATGTGCTTCTTAGAATTGGGGGAAACAGTATTAAATTTATATTTCATATTCTTCAGACTTTTGGGGAAATGAAGTGAGGACAACTGAAATAGGAGAATAGATCAATTATTCTGCTTCTAATTTCACAGGTAAATCCATCAGATAGGTATCATCTCATGCCCATAATCACCCCTGCCTACCCACAACAGAATTCTACGTATAATGTGTCCACATCAACTCGGACAGTAATGGTAGAAGAATTTAAACAAGGTAAACATGTTGGCCCTATTGCCCTTTACATATTCCCACAAGGTTGGTTGACAGTTTTGTTCTCTATTGCAGCTATGGATTGGCAATTAGAATTATGTAACACTCTTTCTAAAACTTCTTTCAAATATTTTCCAAAGTATATGATAATATTAAGACCAAAAATTGAGCTAGTCCAGTTATGGTTTAACTTAATTTTTGTGTTCTGAGAAACAATATATTTACATTTTGTAACAAAAGAATTTTGGGGGAGTGGAGTGATACAAGAAATCAGACTCTCTCTTTCTTCTTCCTTCCCTCCCTCCCTCTCTTTAGGTCTTGCAGTTACAGATGAAATTCTTCAAGGAAAATCAGATTGGTCCAAATTACTTGAACCACCAAATTTCTTTCAAAAGTATAGGTATTTGAAATTTTGCATTTTGTGTGTGTGTGTGTGCAATCACGAAGAATGATTTTAAATTTATTAAAGTTAATATATGGTATATTAATATTTGGTAAATGATAGCTGTTTTTTAGATTTCTTAAGCAAAGTAGAAAATAAGTTAATTAAACTCCTCTGTGTTAATAGAATTCCTTTATTCCAGTAGTAACTAATCCAGTATTAGTGATTTTTTTTATGTGAATTTTTTTAATTATAGGGCCTAGAATTAATTTTATGAAAATCAGAGCATACTTTAATTTTTATACACTGTGCTGATATTGCTCTTGTTCATTGGGAAAGAGAATAAAAAGGTAATAATGGAAAAGCAGACCCTAATAATGTTTCTGTCTTGTTTTTCTGATTGTTGCTGAAAAATTCTTCATAGACATTATATAGTATTAACTGCCAGTGCATCAACAGAAGAAAACCATCTAGAGTGGTAAGACTTATATTCAACTTCTCTACCTACTGTGTGGTGAAAATAATATATTTATATGGTGCTTTACCAATTATGAAATACTTTGATTTCCAAAATTATTAATCTCTCCCTTCTTTTTCTTCCACCCCTCAACTCTACTCACTACCCCTGCCCCAATTCCACTCATTACCCACCCCCCAATTCCCCCAGTACTAGGGATCAAACCCAGGACACTCTACCACTGAGCTACATCCCTGGCTCTTTTTTTTTTTTTTTTTTTTTTTGAGAGAAAATCTTGCTAAGTTGCTGAGGTTGGCCTAGAACTTGGCAGTATTCCTGCTCTAGACCCCCAGGTGACTAGGATTTTCATAGTTACTATATCTTATTGGTGGCTGGTGTATATGACCATAGAGCACCAGTGATTAAGAAATGCCACTAAGTTAATATTTCAGAATTGGGAGTGATATGAGATAAGAATATATATACAGATTATGCTCTTTGTTGTTTCTCAGAATCAGATTTGAATAAAAGTTTTTAGGTGGTTTGGATGAGTCTTTGCATCATGATTTCCTCCATCCAAACTCAAAGGAAAAGATAACATTATTTTAAAATTTAGGAGATGGTGGCATGGAAGGTCTCAGAATGTAAGTTTCTGTCAAGAGAGAAGAGATATGGAACATATATATTCTTTCTAGTGCATCTAAATTCATGCTCTCTGCCTCTAGTATATTCACATTCTTGACTCCATTGGGCAGAACTGTTGGGCCACCAGAGATGGTTGTACTTTCCTCATGTCTGACTTCTAGAAAAGCAAAACATAATACTATCTTATTGTTGCTTCAAGAGTTCAGTTTTATTTCATTGGTAATTAAAGAGACCCTGAAAATATTTGGAGCATCTTTGGGTCATTTTCAAAGTATTTTTCTAGATCAAGGTTCAGGAAATTATAGCCTGTGCCAAAGTCAGTCTGCCACCTATTCCTTAAGTTTCACTGGAGATAGAAAATGCTTGTTCACTCACTTATGTGAAACTTATGTCTGTGGCTCTTTGCATACTTGATAGCAAAGTTGAATAGTTGCAAAAGAGACTGTATGGCCCAAAAAGCCTAAAATATATTTTGTCCAGCTCTTCACAGAAAAGGTTTGCCAGCCTCTCAGATACTAGACCAAAGCAGATTTTTGTGCATCTACTGTTAAGGCATACACAAATATAATGTGCAAGGTTTTGTTGAAGATGTTTGAAAGATTTCTTTTTTAATGTTCTCATACTTGTTCTAATTTATAAAGTCACTAATAAATTAATATTTTGCTGGAGCTAGTCACATTTCTTTAAAAATTTTTTTTAGTTGTAGATAGACAAAATACATTTATTTGTTTGGTTGGTTACTTATTTGCTTTTATGTGGCTCCAAGGATCAAACCTAGTGCCTCACCCATGCTGGCTTGCTAGGCAAGCACTCTACCACTGAGCCACAACTTCAGCCCCCTCATCATATTTATTAAGTGAGATAGAAAATGAAGTTGCAGAAATCTGATGAAATTTTGTGTATTTTTCTAATATTTGATTTGAATTTAGTGACTTCTTATTAAAATGCAAGGTCTAGTATTAATTTTGTGAAAATCAGAGCATATTTATTTATAAATTATGGATCTGAATTAGCATCTTTGTTCACATTATTAAACATATCTTGGCGTTTGAGTTTAGACATAAGATTGAAAGTGGAAACAAAAATTAAAGACCAGCTTAATCAAGAGTTTTTGTTCATGCTCAGATTAGGACTATTTTATAGTCTTAACTAAGATGGGGTATTTTAGATTCAGAAATGCATTATATTGATCAATTCTTTTTTTGATCAATTCTTTTTGTTTAAAAGAAAACAAACTTTAAAAGATAGAATATACAGGAACTCATTAAATGTGTCATTCATCTGAATGGTAGCTTAAAGAGGCTGTACTATGTTGAACTACAGTTTTTAAATGAACATGTAAGGCTCCATAGCTAATATGCTGTGTGATTTACTTAAGTATAGTTTTCAAATTTGACATAGACATAAGAAAATTTTTACTTATTTTAGGGTTGGGTTAGTAGAATCTAAAATCCGTGTTCTTGTTGGAAACTTGGAACGGAATGAATTTATTACTCTTGCCCATGTGAATCCCCAGTCATTCCCAGGAAATAAAGAACATCATAAAGAGTAAGTTAACTGTTTATTTTTTTTTAAGTTAATTGTTTCTTAATATTACATTTCTTTTTTAAAAAAATATTTTTTTTTAGTTGTAGATGAACACAATATCTTTATTTTATTTGTTTTTATGTGGTGCTGAGGATCGAACCCAGTACCTCATGCATGCAAGGCAAGCGCTCTACCACTGAGCCACAACCCCAGCCCCTGTATTACATTTCTTAATGTCATTTTGCATATGCATTCAGATCAGTTCTAAGATTGTCATATAACAGGTATTGATGGGAAAGTGAGACATATGACTGAATATGAGTGACCATGGATTAAAAATAAGTACGTAATATTTTATGCAAAACAAGTCTCCTATCCCACTCTTCACTGGGTTTATATTTAATATTAGTATAATTAATAATATTTTGATAGCCCATATAGACGTCAGTAAATATTCCCATCAAAATATTTGGAGCGGGCTGGGGATGTGGCTCAAGCGGTAGCACGCTCGCCTGGCATGCGTGTGGCCTAGGTTCGATCCTCAGCACCACATACAAAGATGTTGTGTTCGCCGAAAACTAAAAAAAAAAAAAACAAATATTAAAAAAAATTCTTTCTCTCTCTCTCTCTCTCTCTCTCTCTCTCTTTTAAAGAGAGAGTGAGAGAGAGAAAGACAATTTCTTAATGTTTTTTATTTTTTAGTTTTCTGCGGACACAATTTCTTTGTTTGTATGTGGTGCTGAGGATTGAACCCGGGCCGCACGCATGCCAGACGAGCGCGCTACCTCTTGAGCCACATCCCCAGCCCTCTCTCTCTCTTTCTTTAAAAAAAATATATATATATATATTTGGAGCATCTTCATTTTCAAAGTGACTTAATTATTTCAGAACAACACAGGATAACTTCACCAGTGTTATGGATGTCAGTTTTAAGAACTTGGCCAACCCACTGAAATTGCTCTTTATGACATAGACACATAGAGATGAAGTTTTAATTCCAAATAGCTTCTGTAAAATTGTTTTTAAAACTAATGGAAATTCTTAAATTTTACTTTATAGCAACAATTACGTATCAATGTGGTTCCTCGGGATAATTTTTCGGAGAGTAGAAAATGCAGAAAGTGTTAACATAGACTTGACATATGATATACAGTCATTTACTGATACAGGTAAGACTTTGTCATTGTAGAGCTGTGATTCTCAACCTTGGCTGTGACTCATTATCATCTGTCTAGGATCTGCTGCCTGTAATTTTTTAAGTTCCACAGTTGGTTAAATTAAATAGTATATACATATTATAGAAATCTGCACTGTTATTTAAGAAGGGAAAAAATAATGAAGCAATTTTCAAGACATTAAGGAGGGGAGGGGGTTGCAGAAAAATATATATAGTTTGCATAAATAAAAATATATGTGTATTTTTGCTTACAAATCCATTTGAAAAGATATTTATTTGAGAAAAAGAAAAGAAGCAGCAGCAGATGTCAAAGGTTGTTGCTTCTAGGTAGGAGAACCAGTGTGTCTAGGGGGACAGTGATAAATCTCTGAGTACTCATAAATCCTTTGAGTTTTGGACCATGTACATTTGTTATCTGTTTTACAACAAAAAGAAAGCAAGCTAATTTTTACAGGTGGTTCTCTGTGTGCACAGCCAGGGTTCGTAACCACAGTCATAAAGATGACTTGATTTCTGTGTTTTTTTAGAAAAAATATCAGTCTTGCTGAATGTGTTTCAACATCAGTGAAAATAATGTCTTTCATATCTAGCCCCCAAATACACCTCTTTGAATATCTTAATATATTTGTTATAAATTTGAGTTGTTGAATCTGAAATAGTATACATGCTGTTATTATTCTTGACTTACCTGGTCTTCTGAATTCTTTTGAACTAGCCCTTTCATTTATATGATAATGTAGATTCCCATACTTCACCTAGAACCACCAAGTCACACTCTCTGGGGATGGAACCAGAAAATCTACAAATTATGAATTATGATTATGAATAAGCTCGCTAATAATTACATTATAAGCAGTTAGAAATGAAATAGCCACTGGGATGAAAACAGGTATAAATTATTCCATTCTAATTGAGGGTCAAATTCAAAAAGGAGAAGGTTGCGATGCTCTGTTTATTATAGATGTATAAAATGCTCCTTTCCAGATATGGAAACTTAAAGACCCAAGAGATTAAATAATTTACTACATTTTACAGTAGTTTCTGTGCAAAACAAGCCTCCCATCCCTCTCTTCACTGGGTTTATAATTTAATTGGCCATTCACAGTTAAAATACATTAAGTAATTTGTATGATCATTAATATATCTCATTATCTTAAAAGGTGTGAATAGCAGTAGAATGGGAATCTGAGCAGTATGTATTCTGGTCTTGTCCAAGTCTTCAGGGCTTTTGAGCCTAATTTCCCCACCTGTACAATACGGATGTATTTGTAGATAGTTTCTGAAGTCTGATGTTTTGTGATTATTGTGGGTTACAATAATAAAATAAGCCTATGGTAGAGGGGGATCTTGAATTGCATCTTGGATACTGGCATAAGAATTAGTTTAGACTGTGGGCAAGGAATTATGCAGAAAGATTGCCTTTTGGGAAAATAGCAAAAAACAATATTTGGAAAAAGTCTTTTTTCCATTTATTTTGTTAATGACACTTGATTATGAGAAAGTCTGAGAAGATAGACATGTAGAACTAGTCAATTCTTGGATAGGATTGTAGCACAATGCAAATATTCTAGAAATATTTAATCTGTAAGAGGTGTCTGCATATGTGTGTTTGTGTTTGGAAAATATTGAAGATATATGCATTGGGGAGAAAAAAACAGCTCCTAGTTCAGAAGGAAATTTCCACTTAACATGGTTAACATTGTTAACAGTTTACAGACAGGCAAACAATATAAATATGCTAAAGGAAGGAATGAAAATTGAAGCAACTCATGTAAAGAAAAAACAACTTCATCACTACCTTCCAGCAGAGATTCTTCAAAAGAAGAAAAAGGTGAGTCTGTAATCTTAATTCTCCAGTATGGCTCCACTCACATAAATGATCATGAAATCAAATTAGAATTTTAATGTCTCCCATACTGATTAAGAGAAGAAGAAACTGGTATAGACAATCAAGGACTAAAATCCTTACCTTCAGGAATTATAAAAGATGATTTGCTTTTATACCCTTCAAAATTGAAACCAGTCTTATATTCTCATTTGTTTTTTGAAATCCTAATAATTTTCCTCTGTTTCAGCAAAGTCTGTCTGATGTCAATCGATGTTCAGGTGGACCTCAGTCCAAAAGATCATCTCTGGACAGTAGTTGTCTGGATAGTTCCAGAGACACTGATAATGGAACGCCTTTTAATTCCCCAGTGTCTACAAACAAATCTTCCAAACCTGAAAGTCCTCCTGCAGGAGAAGCAGAAAGGTCTGTATATCAAAGTTGTCCTTTTAGTCTTCTGGTTTTTTGAGGATATTACGAATTTTTCAGTACCTTTGCTAAATATCTTTTTTTTTTATATTTATTTTTTAGTTTTCGGTGGACACAACATTTTTATTTTATTTATTTTTTATGTGGTGCTGAGGATCGAACCCAGCATCCCGTGCATGCCAGGCGAGCGTGTTACCGCTTGAGCCACATCCCCAGCCCAATATCTTTTAAAATTATTAAAAAGATTTAGATTTTTATAGCTACTGGTCAGTTTCTTGTTTAGAAATAGTCTACAATTTGTGGTAGTGCTGTGAGATATGGTATATAGGCTTAGAAACGTGGGAATCATTAAGTACACCAGAATATACAGATTTTTTGCTTAGATTTTTCTGTTAATTCTCACTGAGCCCTTTGCCTTTTTCTTCATTGAAATTTTAAAGTAGGAATATTTGAATGAATTCTGTTAAAATTAGAGTTTGGAAAATAAGCAATATTTAATAATGTAATGATGATAATTTAACATTTTTATTAGGAATAATGCTGAACCTGCTGCTGTAATTGTGGAAAAGCCACTGAGTGTTCCACCAGCTCAAGGATTATCTATTCCAGTCATCGGTGCAAGTAGGTGTCTAAAACTATATTACGAATGATTCTAATATATAGGTATTTAATTATTAAAGTTGTTTTTCTCTTTTTCAGAGGTTGACTCTACAGTGAAAACTGTATCATCCCCAGCTGTGTGCACTATTCCTACTGTGGTAGGGCGAAATGTCATTCCTAGAATCACAACACCCCACAACCCTGCCCAGGGACAACCACATCTAAATGGAATGTCAAATATAACTAAGAATGTTACACCCAAAAGATCCCATTCCCCATCTGTAGATGGGACTTCTAAAAGGTTGAAAGACATAGAGAAGGTAAAGTTACAACTTGAGTGGTGTTTTAGTATGTTATTAAAGTAAGGATAATACTAAAGAAATCCACAATTCTCCATAGCAATATTAGTTTTCAATTAGGAATTGAAAGTTTGAAAAGAATATTAGGAATTGACAGTTTGAAAAGAATATTTCAGACCCTAAAGGAACAATCTTCCTAAGTTCAAATTACTAATGTGTCTAAATTTATCCTTGACTTCTACAAGTCATTATTGGTAATTAGATTATTTCTTGTGTTCTGTTGATATTCTCTGCTTCCAGTAGGTGGTAGTAAAGCTTTATTTACTTGTTAGAGTCTTTATTGATTTAACCAAAAAGCTGTAAAAATGAAGGGTGGCAGTTGAATTCAGTCTAATTTAAATTTCCTTCCCTCACTACCCCATGTTTGTGGTAGTTTTTGATGAGCCTCATTATTTATTATTTTCTATTTATATGGATTTGTATGGTTTTTGCAGGTATGTATTAGCAACTCATTTTTAATGTTTATATTTTAGTTTATTCGACTCGAATCAGCATTTAAGGATTCCCATTCTGCTGAAGAGAGAAAAAGAAAATCAATGGTAAATATATTAATATGTTTCAGAATGTTTAGTTTTAAAGAGCAGTGTATCAGGAAAAAAATTATATAAGTAGGTCAGACTAGACTTGTCAGACTTTAGTTGTTTTATTTAAAAATTTTTTGGGAATTTTTTAAGTTGTAGATGGACATAATCCCTTTATTTTACTTTTATATGGTGCTAAGAATTAAACCCAGTGCTTCACACATGCTAGGCAAATGCTCAACCACTGAGCTATAACCACAGCCTCTTAAGTTTTATTTTAAGTAGGAATAAGTAATTGTACATGGCAAAGTTTTCACTTGTATATAATTCTTCTGTTTTTAGGATGCCATTGGAGGAGAATCTATGCCTATTCCAACTATTGATACATCTCGCAAAAAGGTAATAGATAGTCTTATTCACAGGTACAATACATAAGTAAAAATTCATAGATAATCTACACATACAAAAAGCTTATTAAGAGCTTAGCATTGGAGAGACCCAGCTTGGTAAGGATTAGTCCAGTGATTACATAAGAGTTGGGCACCATAAATTCTCTATATTTTGCCTCCCATGGCTACAATCCTACAATCCCAGTGGCTCAGGAGGCTGAGGCAGAAGAATCACAAGTTCAAGGCCAGCCTTAGTAACTGAGGCCCTGTCTCAAAATAAAGTATAAAACCAGGGGCTGGGTATAGCCCAATGGTTAAATGCCCCTGGGTTCAATCCCTGGTGCTAAAAAAAAAAACAAAAAAAAATCAACACTGGAAAATGGTAAGATTTTCCCCCTATTCTCAAAGACCAGCAGTCTAGTTAGGGTTAAAGATAGAAATAACATACAAAGTATATAGTTCTGACTGACTGTATATAACTCAGAAATCAAGAAAAGAGGGAGTAATTTAAGAAGATTTCATGATATTAATGTTAAGGTTTTGTTCATCCTTTGTTTTTTATTTATCTTTAAAGATATAGGAAGGGGATATATATGCTCAGTGGTAGAGCACTTGCCTAGCATGTGTAGCCCTGGGTTCAATACCCAGCACCACCAAAATAAAAAAGGGTGGTCATCCTAGGAATTACCAACACCTAAGAGTAGAGCTTTTTATTTTGTACCACTGCTTAATGTTAAAATTTAGGTTTGATAATTAGAAACTTTTTACATATTAATATTTTGAAGGAAACAAATACAGCAGTATACATAGTAAGTACCTTTATATAGAGCACGAACTAAAGAGTCCCTAAATCTTTTTTGTTTGTTTTTTTAGGTGTGGATAGACACAATACCTTTATTTTATTTTTTTCTTAATGTGGTGTTAAAGATCAAACCCAGTGCCTCACAGATGTGAGGCAGCCCCAAGAGCCCCTAAATCTTAATTCAAAGTTTAATCTTTGAAGAGTTACCTTTGAGACAAATAATATATAGTTAAGCATGATAAGCTAATAAACGGTGCTCAAAAAAAACTTGTAAATCACAGAAAGCCCTTGTCTGAGAAATTAGAGTGAACAAAATAGTTTATCTTTACCCCTCCCATTAAATGATAAAGTACTTCTCATTGCAGTCAGCTTGTCACTTGTGAGGTGTCTCAGGACATATTAGACATTAGAAAGCAAAGCAGTATCCTCACAGGCCATTAGTTGTATGATTTGGCAACACAAGACAAAGTTATAGGTGTATAATTATATTAAGTATGATAATGGAAGAAAAAAATTTTGAGGTGGATTTTTAAAGTATTAAAGAATGAAGTAATGTGTTCGGAGTTCTTAAATATTTTGAGTATAAAGGGTAAGTGGGTAAACCAGACGAATGTGGTAATTTTAATAATGCCTGAGTCTTCATTGACCTATCCTGTACTTTTATCTATGTCCAAAATTTTTCTTTTCTTTTTCTTTCTTTTTTTTTTTTTTTTTGTACCAGAGATACTCGACTGAGCCACATCCCTGGCCCTATTTTGTATTTTATTTAGAGACAGTGTCTCACTGAGTTGCTTATTAGCACCTCGCTGTTGGCGAGGCTGGCTTTGAACTGATTCTCCTGTCTCAGCCTCCCAAGCTGCTAGGATTACAGGCATGCCCCACCACACCCAGCCATAATTTTTTGATGGAAGTGAAAATAGAGAAATTTATTTAGCCAATGTACCACAGAGAATTTGACAAGAAACTTTATTATGCTATTTCTTTTCTTTTTATATATATATATATATATATATATATATATATATATATATATATATATATATATAACTTTATATATATATATATATAAAACTTTTTTTTGTTTTTTTTTGTTTTTGTGCCTTTCTGTCCTAATGTTGCATAGTTATCAGTGAGGATTAGTCCAATGATTACATAAGAGTTGGGCACCATAAATTCTCTATATTTTGTCTCCCATGGAGGCCTTCGAAATGAATCTTTATTAAAAATCAAAATAAAACCAGGATACTGGTTTATACAATATATATATATATATATATATATATATATATATATTAGTTGTAGATGGATACAATACCTTTATTTTATTTATTTATTTTTATGTGGTGCTTGACTCAAACCCAGTGCTTCACATAGGCTAGGCAAGTGCTCTACCACTGAGCTACAACCCCAGCCCCTATCATACTGTTTGCATCACACAGGTCTATATTTTTAGAAGTCTTTCTTTGCTTCTCAATTCCTTAGGTTCTTCATTATATAATAATCTTTAGCATCCTCCGAATACCTCACACAGATGTCCCTGAATTTCACTGTCATCAGTTACCTACCTAGGTTAAAAACTTCGGTTTTCCAGAAAAATTATGTATCTCACGATTGGAAGATTGATGAATGTATTACAGAAACTAGTTGAAGGATATAACTCAAATATCAGACTTTCTTCCATAACCCTCATTTTTCATTTCACACCCTAAGAGTTTCCTGTTTAGTTACAGTGTACTTCCTGTTTCTAGTATCATTGCCTGACTTCAGGGACTAGGTTCTTTATGCATTTTTGTTTGTTTGTTTGTTTAAACATTTAGTCATAGATGGATGGACACAGTACCTTTATTTTACTTATTTGTAGCAGTGCTTAGCATCTGTGTAGTATTTCTCAATCTGGAAGTAGCAATTGATTTAACATAGCCCTCTTCTCCTATACCTTCTCACCCTCATGCCAATTCTTCTCCTTTCCCTTGTTCCTCCACTTTTCAGTTCTGTGTTTTTTTTAAAAAAAAACTTCCAAAAGCAAGAAAGAAAATGAACAAACAATACCGGAAGGAAATATTCAACACATACCTGAGTAATTAGGAGCTTAAGGAATTTGGAGAGAAACAGTTGGATGCTTTATTTTATATATAGCTCTCTCTATATACAGATATCACATATATAATTCTTTATATATTTATATATATATATGTAAACATTTGCTTTTCCTTTTTTGTTTTTGTATCTTTCTAATAGAGACTACCAAGTAAAGAACTACCAGATTCATCATCCCCAGTTCCAGCAAATAACATCCGTGTCATCAAAAATTCCATTCGACTGACCCTTAATCGGTAAAAGCAGTGCCTCCTCACTTAAGTGAGCATGCAATCATATAGTGGCATAGATATAGCCACTCTTTTCAAAATAGAAGTGGCTGTTATACGTAAAATAGGTGAAAGTTACAGTCATCAGCCTAACGACCTTGAAGTGGTTTTTGAACTCTCACACTGACCTGCAGATGCTGTAGCATTCTCTCACTGATTGCTACATACACTCCTCTGAGGATCACCTGCTATCAAATTGTCATCTACACTATTATGGCTTCGCATTTGAAGGTTTTACTGCCTTAACTTTTGATGTTTGTTTCTCTTGTTATGGGAACCAGTTCTTGGCCACTTGGACACTGAAAACAAGTGCTAAACACTTTCTTTTTTCTTTTTTTAAGTCTTATGTTGTAATCATTGTATAGAACTGAAAAAGTTGAAAAAAAATTTTGTCTTGTAATTTTCCAAATGTTAATGCATTTATTTTAGTATCAGAGCCAGTTTCTGAAACCTGAGATGAATGAATGTGAGATATCTTTTCTGCTTCCTTCATTTGTGTAGATGTATTGTCTGTTCTGTTGGTTTAAATTATTTTTTTCTAGATGGCACATGGAATATTTAAACTTTTTTTTGTTTTTTTCTTTTTGTGCCTTTCTGTCCTAATGTTGCATAGTTACCAGGGAGGATTAGTCCAGTGATTACATAAGAGTTGGGCACCATAAATTCTCTATATTTTGCCTCCCATGGAGGCCTTTGAAATGCATCTTTATTAAAAATCAAAATAAATCCAGGATACTGAAAGTCAGTATATGAATGGTGAAATTGTTACGTATCCTACTATCTCATGCCATTCTTGTTAGTTGACCGGTATTTTTTACTGAGGATCAACTCATTTCACCATCAACAAGATACCTTTACATATGGCAAACTTGTATTTTTGAAGTGTAAAATTAACTCGGCATGATAATTCCTGACCATAATTTACCCCACAACTTCAAAATTTCTTCACGGACTAGGCATGCAGAAATAAGCAGTGGATTTTATTGAACTCTAAAGGCATTTTTGAATGACATTGTTAACAACCATTAATTGGCTCAGGACCTTTGTAATTTTTATTTAACTATATTAGTTGTCTTTTTTTACACTGCTTTTTTCAATGCACTTCTTAATATTTTTTAAGTTTCATGAATGCATGCTCAGTTTATTAAAATCCATAACCATGTAATTCTTGTAATATGTTGATTCAGTGTTTTGTAAATGAAGTCGTATGTATTTTCAGAGTATTTTTGTATGTACTGTAAGATACCATCTTTTCAAAGAGAAACCTTTAAAACCTTTACTGTCTCTCTTTAGTCTAATTTTTTAAATATGAATTATGCTTGAATTATTATATTTAAAATGAAAATGTGTAGATTGCACAGCCAGGAATGCCAGTATATGTTACAGTTCTTCAGCTTTCATACCACATTTAGTGGGCCAGTAGGAAAAACAGAATGGCACATTGAATAGTGAAGAAATACCTGGTTGTATATTTTATAGGACTCATGGGATGCCATCTTGTCAGTGGAGAAATAGCAGTCCATTTTCTCTTGCAAGCCCCTTTACTGTTGAGTTTAAATTCTTGAATTCAGATTGTCAGAGAGCAGTATCTCCCATCTCCCACTCCTGTTTCCCATCCTCTAGGTCTCTGAAATACAAATTCTAGTGTTTAGCTTGTACAAAGAAAAATGTGGCAAACTTCTAGAAGGAAAAATAATTGTTCCATTGTTAACTTTTTCCCTATCAGCAAAAGATAAGAATGAAATCCCATAACCAAGTTGTAGTTTCCATGGCAAAGTCATTCTCTTAGCTGACCCTTTTCCTGTATTCACGTATTTTTGGATTTGTTTTACAAATACTCTTATTTGGACAAAATTGAATGATTATGAAAGAATTGAATAACTGTCACTTGACTTCAAATTTTGAAAATTCTTTGGTAAGGGACTTAATTAAATTTTATATACTTGAAGTGTCTCTGTGTTTCTGTATTTCCTCTCCCCTGCTTTTATAAATCAGTCTTTAACATCTCTTTAGGAATTCCTTATAGGGCTGGGGATATAGCTCAGTTGGTAGAGTGCTTGCCTCGAATGTACAAGGCCCAGCACCACAAAAAAAAAAAAAAAAAAAAAAGAATTCCTTATATCTCCATGTTTACCCTGTTATAGAAACATATTCTTTGGAGTGGCCAGTGGAGTTTTTCTTTAACAAGAAAACAACAAATCTGACCCCCTACCATAATATAGTCATTTCTCTTAGATTAAAGATCCATTCTGCATGATGTTAAGCCATGGTCAATGGTTCAACATTAGAATCCTCAAGAATAGTATTCTTCAACTTGTTCAGTCATGGAGGTTGATAAGATGCTTTTGAGATGGTGGGTTTACTCAGAAGTGTATTTCTCATCCTGACAAGCAGGAAGGATTCGGTACATTTCGTGACCATAGCAGGAGCTTCCATTGTATTGGTTCCAAGGAAGTAAAAGGAGACAGTGTGGTCTAGGATTGTATGTTACGTTCAGAGGCACTACATGTATTCATTTTCAAGTGGAACTATACCTAGAAATACATTTCATAAAGTCCCATAACCTATTCTTCAGTATATAGACACATATTTATTTTCACACAGTATTAGATTTTAATATATTCATTTTTCAGTGACTAACTCTGGAGAATAGTATATATCAAAGGAAAATAGATGATGTTTAAACCTTAGGGACTTAGAGATAGTAACTGGCTGAAAACTTTGTAAAATTGGGGCAAAAGAATGAATTTTCCAAGTTTATTGGTGCTTAAAATAAGAACTTTATCTTAAGATGGTGTTAAGTGCTTATTTTATACTATAGTAGCAATTAAAGAAAATAGGCTAAAGTTATTTTCCACTATTATCCCACAGTTGTGAAATGAGAATTCCTAACTTGGGGATCATGAACCCTTTATATATGACATGTTTTTGTTTATATGCATTTTAGGGGGATGAGGGGTCATAACTTTCATAAGTTTCTCAAAGTGATTCATGACCTGAAAAAGGGAAAGGAGGTAGGAACCACTAGGATTGAACAATCCTAGAATATTTCAAATTTCCTCCATTTGATTTTGCTGTGGTGTATTTCTGAAAATGTACTGTGGCTCTTAACTAGTAAAGTATTGGTAGAGGATCTGGAACACTATTTCTAAAATTCTTTATATACTTCAGATGAAACATACCAACATGATAAAAACATACCGACATCAGATTATCATATGTCTTCATGTTAAATCCACTAACAGGGTCAAACCTTAGTTCTAACAAATTTAACCTAAGATCCATCTGAGTAAAATAGCTTAGAATGATCATTATAAGTGATATAGAATAGAAATAATCATCAAAGGTCCTAATCCTTTGCTTTCAGTAGCATTAAATTTTTCACTTTCTCCTCCATGTTTGTCATTCAGGCCAGAACACACTGAACAGACCAATAAATAGAAGTGTTTTAGTTAAAAATAAATATTTTTGTATAAAGTGTTTGTGTTTAAATAAACAACTGCCTAACAAATCATCCAAAGCTTAGAATCTAAATTGGTTGTGATGCTAATAACAAATAGTGCACAGATGGAAGAAAACCAGTCTCAATAATAACAAATTATTTCCTTTGAGGTTTTCTGAAGAATTGTACAACGTCATGTCCTTCCCAGATTCCCTAATTTTTTGAAATAATTTTATATTTAAAATCAGTTAAACATAAATTTATCAAGTTTGTTATAATTTTAAGCTATTACTGCATTTTAACAGACTGAAAGTACTTAGGCTGTCTTTGATGTAAATGGTGCTACATCATTTCACAGTATTCTATAAAATGAATGCAGCTGCTGTTCCTTTCTAGATGTTTGTGTGGTTCATATTAATTTTTCCTGCCTTTATTTGGATTGTTTTATTTCTTAGTTGTACATATGAGACTTATTTGTCTGGAATAAGTAATCAAATAAACTTGCTTTGATAAATAGGTGGTGGTTGAGTAATGTTATTTGGGAGCAACTCAAAAGTACCAGAAGTCTTTCCTTATTTTTCAAATTGATAGCCAATTTGGTCATTTTCACTCAGACTCTTTGGTAGATAGTGTTATCCTTTCTCACTTAATACGAAAGCAAAGCTCAGAATCAATTTGCCTCACACAGAATCACCTATTAAACATTTATTAGCAAGCAGTAACAGTTTGTACAATCTGCTCTGCATTCAAAGAAGTTTCAGCTTTCTGCCCTTTCGGGTGCTCTGACCACACTTTCATGAAAAGGTCACTTGAGCCATCTGTATCAAATAATGGAGGCAAAATTCTGTCATCTTTGAGGTCAGCATCAGGCAACCAGAGTCCTCTGTGCTAATGACTGAACAGAGGTGTGTGTAGCAATCAAACCTTAAATACTATACAGACAAGCATAGGTTACAAGGTACATTCTTGTAAGAACACAGTGGCTAGTCACAGCTAGTCTACATCCTGGTACTGGATTCACAAATTTGAGTTTCAAGGTTACTAGCAAGCCACATATGTCGCCAATGGGAACACACTGGATACTTATTAAGCTACAATCTCCTGTATTGACTGAAGTACAGACAATAGGACTTCTAGTAGTTACTTGTGAAGTGAGGGTTTCCCAATTGGTCAATCATCCCTGGACTGATTTTCTGATTGAAGCCACTTCCTATTCCTGGGATACGACTTATACAAATAGAATTGTCACACTGCTGAAATGTTTTAAAGTAAATTAACAAAACGGGTTACTTTGTGGATTCAAATGTGTTACAGAATTAAGAACAAAATAGATTATATTGCCTTTAAAGCTCATATTCTTGAAACTATCAAACTTTATGATCCAACCAAACTGTTTTACGGAAGAGTCTTTAAAAAAGACACACTGCCAAGTCCTTTCTTGCCAATCTTTGTTGACATATTTTACTTTTCTGAGCTGCATAGAGCCTTTTTTGCATTATTTGTAATGCAAATATTCTCACTCTATCTTCACAACACGTTACCTGTACCTTTTTAACATTTAAATTATTTTAATTTGCATAACTTTCAGTTTACCTGTTTGTTTCCCCTGAGAAACCTATAGGTTTCAAAGTAGTGACATTCATCCAAGATTTCTTATGTAGTGAGTGCCCAGAAAATATTGAAGAGGGAAACATGAGTCCTTGTTTCCTTGGGGTCTTTGATTTGTTTTATTTTCTTTTGTTTATAATTCAATAAGATTGATTATCTTAAAGAGAGACCGATAAACTAAAGTTCAAGAAGGCAAACAAAACTTAATGAAGATCCTAAAGATACCCTTTCCAAACTTTTCAACAGTAATCCTGCATAAGAAGTGCATCTTATATTGTTAAGTTAGCACATATATACATACTTGAATATGTGTATAGAAAGATGTATTATATATATGCACACATACAGTTAAAAGAAGTTCACAAAAACAATGTCTCCTTACTGTGTGTAACACAGGTATTTTATTTTGTTTCAATATTTTAGATGGCAGTTGTGATTTCACAATCAGTCTTGAGTTGTTACCTACACTTTGAATTACACTGCATTAAAAGCTCTCTTCCTCAAAGTTCTTCTCAAACCTGCATCATCTGTCTTTTCTCTGTTCTGTAATGCAAATATTCTTAGCAAATAGTTCAGGAAAGGATAGTAGGATGAAAGATGAGAAAGAAGTAGATCAAGTACAGATATTCCCTTTTCCCAAGAAAAGATTCTGACCCAAAAACCATAACACTTTGCATCAATCATTAATACAGCAAGAGTGTAAAACACAGCAAAAAGCACAAATTGGGACCTTTGGACAGAATTTAATATTGGTCAGTTGACTTCAGCTGGCCAACAGATGGCATCAACTTTCAGAAAGGGGCCTGGGATTAAATAGAAGAATGACAGGGATAGCTTATTAACCAAGATTTATTCAATTGAGAGGCAGAAATCACTCATGCAGAGAATTCTATTGAACACAGCTCTCTTAAGGCTCAATATGGCCAAGAAATGCAAGGATACTAGATACAAGGGAAGTTCTAAGCCATAAGTATGAAAGTGTTTCACATTCACTGAGCATTTTCTAATGTGCCCTTTAAAACATCATGGAACTTAATCTTTATGATGACCCTATGAAGTAGCACTATTACTCGTATTTTACAAATGAGGAAATTGAGGCTTAGGGAGATTACATAACCAGCTCCAAATTGCATAACCATTAAGTGGCAGATTCCGGAAGTATGATTCAAAGTCCAAGTGTTTAACCATATCTCTCAGTTAGGAAAGGACTTAGAGATATCCATCAAATCTCCACCACCCCATATCATCCCATGAGGTGTGGACTTTCCAGGGTATGCTGGCCAGTTGCAACGATGGTCATTTGTTCCAAGATGAAGGGGGCACTGCAGAGAGCTTCATTCTATCCTGGTTCTGTCACTTAGATCTATGGAAATTTAACTGATGCTTAAACACCCTATGCTTATTTTCTCCCATCTTAAAACATTTGCCCTTTAAACCTTTAGGTAGCTGTCATGAAAATATCCCCAAAGACCAGCAGGACTCCAAATAGAGGAGACAGGTAATCTCTTAGGATTCCTTAGCCATCAGACCAGAAAGAAAGGGATCCAGAAGGAATATCACCAAGAAAAAAAAATAAATAAATACCTGATATGCTTATGCACAGTGAGAAGATAACACTACTGTCACAGAGCTTGAGAAAAATCAAGTAAATTTCTTAAATGGCACATTTTCATTTTAGAGAACTCGAAAAGCCAAATAAAAAAAAAGAAATGGGACAACAGAACATTACATGGCTCAGCTGTGAATTCACATAGTCTTACTAATGTAGGTAGAGAATACTGAACTAGCCAAAAAATTTCTATTGAAAAGGATGTGAGAGTGAGGAAGACAGGACCTAAGAGGGTAAAATCCTCATCTTCAATAGTAATAAGTAGAAAATATCTAAAACTGACAAATCTAGTATAAGCATGTTATTTAGAAATATGTGACTAGGAGAAGGAAAGTCTTAAAATGTTGAAGATGGTTGCCTCTAGAGAAAAGAAATAAAAAATGAGGAAGAGGTAGGAAGGAGATGACCTTTTAAAAAAATAAAATAAAATGTGTAGAACGTTTTACTAGTCTATCCACTATCTAACCAGCATGGGGTAGGAGAATGATGCTTTGAAGCAGCTAGACCTAGAGAGCTACTTCCTGTGGGACTCTGAGCAAGTTGCTCAGCCTCTTTGAGTTCTAGGTAACTCATCTGTAAAGTGGGACTATTGATACTTATTTCACAGGAGAAGCACAAGGAAGTGCAGTCAGACTTCCTGGCTGTATTCCAGCTTGCCACTCACTTGTTGACCAAGAGGACTCATAGAAGTTACTTACTTCTGTGCCTGTTTTCTCTTCTTAAAAAAAAAAAAATGGTGATTATAATAACAGAACATACATCAAAGAGTTTCTAGATGGATTGAAAGAGAGATGATCCAAAATTTCTCAGCACATACTGCAGTTTAATAAATTGCTGAGGAATTATATGTTTCATGAAATACTATATGTCATGCTCTATGCATGGCGATGACCCACAATGGACAACCCTTCTCCTAAAAAAATACCCCACAAGAGTAAGGGAAGAAAGCCAATGTCTATCTCCCCAGATAGACTGAAATAATAGATTCCCCACCTCCCAGGCAATGTTGTGGAGATACATGACCCCTGCCCTGCCTCCAAGTCCTTCTCAAAACATAATTCTCAGAACAGTCATTTTCTTTGGAGAAATGTGTAGGAATTATTAAATTCTTTTTTTAGAAGCCAAACTGGATTTATAGCATAAAAAGCCTGGAGTGGGGATAAAAAAGTGCATCACAAGTTCAAGGCAGCCTGGGCAACTTAGCAAGACCATCTTAAAATAAAAAAGAACTGGGATGAAGCTCCATGGGAGAGTACCCTTGGGTTTAGTTTCCTGTACTACCCCCCCCAAAAAAAAAAAAAAACCAAGTCACTTCTTACTCAGGATGTAGCTCAATGGTAGAATATGTGCAAGGCCTTGGGTTAAATCTCCAGGACCAAAAAAGGAAAAAAAGAAAACAAAGTCACTCTAGTACTATGGAGTTCATAGGCTAGGATGGAGAAGAAACTCCGGGGAGGAGGTTTTTATAAGAGTTGGGGTAACAAAGGTGCCTAACATTGGGCAGATGCTACAAAAATTGAAAAGGAATGAATAGACCATTTGGAAGCAAAATTACCTGCACAGTGAATTAATTTTAGAAAGAGGGATAGAAGGCAGAGTGAAGAATGGTTCCTAGGTTTGTGATCTGCAGACTAGGTAGATGAAAGAAGTGGGATGTTAAGAGGAAGGTGGGAATCTTAAGTACCATACACTCACATCTTCTCTCCTCATTCATATGTATAGTGGACATTTTCTAAATGTTTTGCAAATTTTTAAGCAAAACACATCTATGTTCAGTATCCTCTTCCAATAGGATGAACATGCCAAGGCCTTCCTACTTCAGTTGGAATGTGGGCTGTCATTCTGTGTGAGAAACAAAGACTAGGATTATTAGGACAAGGTTGGGGTTTGATGAAGTCTGTCTATTTGGTACTGGGAATTAAATCTAGTGACCCCCCTACCATTTAGCTACATTCTTAACCCTTTTTAAATTGTTTATTTTGAGACAGGGTCTCCAGGCAGGCCTCCAACTTGGACTCCTCCTGCCTTGGCTTTCAGAGTAGCTGGAATTACAGGCATATACCACGGTGCCAAAAGCAGAGAAAATTTAATTTTATAATCATGTATAAGATTAAGTTCCAGAAATAATTTGTTTAGAATTATGACTAAGACTTTGTTAAACGAGCTCATTTAATAAATACTGAGTACTTACTGTATGTCAGATTTCTATTTTTGTGTCCTCACTTGTTGACCAAGAGGATTCATAGAAGTTACTTACTTCTGTGCCTGTTTTCTCTTCTTAAAAAAAAAAATGGTGATT